GTTTTATCTTGAAAATTCATAGGAAATTTACAATAATAACATAAGGTAAGATTTATTTGTTTGCATTGAATAGGCTTTGAAACTACTGAAACAATAATCAAAAATTCTTTCACCATCGGAATATTTCATCACGTTATACATCAACAGCCTATAAGTGGCCACTGCTGACCAAAGGCTTCTCGCACGGAGAAGGTTTGAGCAATCACCACGGTCACTCAATGCGGGTTGGCGATTTCTAACTTATAATTAGAAATTATAAGCCCAGGTTTCCTCACGACGTTTCCCTTCACTGTTTGTCAGAGGCGTCTAAATAATCTTAGAAAGTACATATAACTCGGAAAAAGTCACATTGGTACTTGCCGCAAACCGTGCATGAGAAACCCACCAGGGCCACCACGACATCGGAAACTTTACTTTCAGTAATATCTTATTAATTTTACAAAATTTAAAAAATCCAACGTTAGAGTCTAAAAACAGGAAAATAAGCAGTATAATAAAATGCACTCAACAAAGAAGTAGGAAACAATTACATACATTGTATGCAAAAAATTCCAATGCTTTGACATAAGAGAAAATAATTAAATTAGCGTAAGCTTGCTACGAAGACCAATTAGTTAAAGCAATTATATTCTATTTAGATTCAGAAGTCGCAATGAAACGCAAACAATGACAAAAGGATACTACAGACAAAAATAAATTAAATTAAAATCCCTCTTTCACTACTTTCAGTGAAAAATGCACCCTATGACTTTACTTAGCTCTTTGTATCGTGCTCAAAATGCCAGGAACTGAATTTGCTGTTTGTGTCTGCATTTCTGCAGTCCGGTTTAATAAAGAAAATATTTATAAACGATAACATAAAAAACGAATCTTCTGCGTATTGGGTATTAACTACTCCCGCACGGTTTCAACCGCTGCTCGGCTCCTATTGGTCATAGCGAGATGTTTTATAGTTTCAAACCTCCCCCTATAAATGTTCTATCCAACACAAAAAGAATTATTCAAATTAGATTAGTAGTTTCCGAGATTAGTGCATTCAAACAAACGAACTCTTCAGCTTTATGTTAATAGTATAAGATAAGACATATTATAAGATATTACGTTTAGTGTAAGGTCTGTTTTTTTACTTCTTTTTTTCATGTAAAATGACTTAAAATTTTAACAACCGACTTTATAAGGAATCTTACATCCGAGACAACAAATACTCTAAGTAGACAGCGGATCAATATATTATGTCCACTTTATATTACCTCAGTCGTTGCATTTTGTACTAAATCTTGGTCCTAGGTGATACCAAAAGAGCAATGTTTCACGGTCACTAGACTTTAAACTAACTTCAAGACGTGTATTGGCAATAAAACATTCTTAATAGACTTCAGTCTGATATAGGACTTGCCAGATCCTTCCAGGATGTCTCTTGGTTTTCCTTCAGAAGACTTATGGCCTTATTCACCAACCACCCCTAAACCATGTCTTAAGTAAGAATTACTTAATGTCAAAGAGCATGTAAACTAACCCCTTACTTATGTAGTTTAAGAGTTCCTTAAAATGTAGGACAAGTTGATGAAAACAAGCGTAGGAGCTCTAAAATAAACACGTTGCGGTTGATGACTTGGCAGTTTCAGGTATAATTATTATGCACATACTAACGTGATTTTAGATTCGCTTTATTATTAGTCCTATTCTAACTGTCACAGGCATTTTAGTGTTAATACGACTGGTGAAGAATTATTTTAGACAATTTTATTTCTGTGGTGGGTTTATTAGCATGCGATATAAAAGAATAGGGTAGACGACTAAATTTTATTTTAATGTCCGTCTGGTAGATTATTTTAAATCATTAGACACGTATTTTTTATTTTCTTACAGAAACGAATGTTTTCGACGATATATTGATTTGAAATGTCGCGTGACGTCACTTCTATGTATGTACATTTTATACGTAGAAATGACGTTTTAGCCCCCATTCCTAAACTTTGATTCGTTTTATCCAAGTATTGTTTTATTACGACAAAATAAAAAAATACGTGTTTTATATTTTTTTATTACCTAACTTACGGACTAAGTATATTTTTAATTTTCATACCCTGTCATCATCCCAATGTTAGACATGAAAGTGAAACTGTTGACCACACAACTTCCTATGTCTAACACAAAAGACGACAAAAGAAGAGTATAGAAATTTAAGAGATGCTAAAGCTGTATGTCAAGAACGTAGTAGGCCGTAATGCCGATAATACAAAGATATAAACACATATTGACTGCCTCGTTGGCCGAGTGGTCGTAAGTGCGATTGCCGGGCAAGGGGTCTCGGGTTCGATTCCCGGGTCGGGCAAAATATTACTGGGTTTTTAAATATTCTCAGAAGTAGCACGGAGCCTGGAATTGTGCCCCGTATATGGCAATAGGCTCACCCCCTATTACATGGGACTCATAACATAAATAGTGAAAAGTGGGTGTGACATTGTACAGTGGTATAATGTGCACCTCTGCCTACCCCTTCGGGGATAAAAGGAGTGATGTTATGTTATAAACACCTATTTACTTAAGTATGAACAAGAAGATAACACAAAGTTCTTTAATACCAATGTTCGATATTTATGCATTTTTGCCACCTTTTTATCAACTAGCTTCTACCAGTGACTGCACGATTGATGCGGTGGCTGGGCAACCGGCTGCCGTGCAACGTGTCGCGGGTTCGATTCCCGCACGGAACAACACTTTGTGTGATCCTCAAATTGTTGTTTCCGGTCCAGGTGTCATTGTGTACGTGAACTTGTATGTTTATAAACGCACCCACGACACAGGAGAACATCCTAGTGTGGGGCAAAGTTTATTTAAAAAAAGAAAATAAAAGAAAACAGTGATTTCGCCTGCGTTCCAAAGTATTCTAAACCATAATCTACCCCTTTTCCATATATCATCCCGATCTCTTCAACCGTATTGAATTGATTGAGTTACAAACAGACAGATAAACTCTCTCACAAACTATGACTCAAAACACTTTCGCATTTATTATATTAGTAATATATATTTTTATTCACAGGTACTGTAAAACCTTTTCGGCTATGGTTTCACACGGACAACGTGGAAGCACCAGTGGATGTCGGCAACCGAGGGTTCTGCCTCAACTATGTACAACAGCCTTGCACTAATAACTTAGTTTAGAACATACTTATAACAATAACAAGCTTTATCAACAGAGAATCACCGAAAAGGTTAATTACAAATAAGTTGTAATTAACTCGAGAACAAATAAACAAAAACCTCTTTCTTAAGAAGGATTTAAAGTAGTTAAATAGAGAGTTTAAACGGATGCTGACAGGTGATGGTAAAAAACAAGTCTTATTTTCATAAGCGTACGGAATTAAATTCTTTAACGGAATTAAAAATCGTGGGTTACCCACGTGACGGGTTTTCACGTGACTAACTTTCAGTTGATATTGGTAGCATAACCCTCATCCCGTAAAGAAAAGGATGATGTATATGGGATATGAAATTTTACAGTTACACTTATCTAAGAATTAAATCCTAAATGTAAGCTATCGTCTTTTCTGTAAAATGAGCTGAAGTGTAAAAATGATTAGCTCCTTACTACTTTGAGCACATTAACAATATTTGTAGTGAAATTTTGAAACCAGGATACCCACTTTTAATAAGAAAAATATGTGTTATCCGTGTGTAGTAGCGATATTTTTAGTAACACAAGAAGCTCATCTAATACTTAAAGAAAAATGTCGTTGCTTTTACCAATTTTAGCTAGTATATCTACTTATTTCAAATGTTTGTGTTATAGATATTTTAAATACAATAATTATTATTAAAATTCATATTTTTTAATTGTACTAGTAAATGGGTTTAGAAGAACACACTCTCATTGCATATTTTTATCTAGAAGTAATAGTTTTGTATTGTATTATTTACATTTAACAATGAATATTTAAATAAATTTGTCTGTCAAATCTGACAATAAATCATATTGGCCAAAAAATCGGTAATATAGTAGACATAAATATGAAATTAGGTAGGTATATATTGTTTTCGTATTCTAAGATAACACATAGACAAATAAGATTTTTGTACAGTTAACACATCGCTTAAACCAACAAGTACAAAATTATCACTTTTATTTCATAACGATACGATTGTTTTAGTTTTTTTTGTGTAGATTTTAATGTTACACTGCCTTAAGTATAAGTAAGTTGACAATGAATTTAAGACATTTCTTACTAAGTTATTCAAATTAAAACCATGTTTGTACTTTTTTAATAAAAGTTTTTACGAATACAAACCTGTGTGTTTATTTTGAGATCTATAGTCATAGTAATATTGGCTAAAATCGTAAGTTTTCGCATTTTACTGGCGAGAAATGAAGGGTGGAATACGCAAGGGAATAACCCCGATTAATCCTACACATCCTGAGAGTTCAAGTTCATGGCAATTATTTATTAATGTAACGCTTTCATTTAGACTATAAAAAGCGCAAATATTCAAATATCAATTGATCTAATACTTAGATATCGTTTAAAAACTTTATGCGTTTTTGTTTTGTTTCGTAATTATAAAGGAAATCGTTGAAAAGTTATAAAAATGTGTATAAATCACGAACTCTCGTATTGCTTATTATTTGGATCAAAGTATTAAACTTAAAAACACGTCACTTTAAAAAAAAACAAAAATTTATAATGATCCGTTAACCATAAAGTGGCAAAGGTCAAACTATCGAACGATTTTGCATCGCAATATGTGTTCAAGGTTGATTTCCACATTTCACAGCACAAAGGAAAAACATATATCACAATCCCACTTAAATAAATAATATATAATAGATTGCTATTATATGTTATAGTGTTTACTCACCTAGTAACTTTAAAGTATAGGTGCAAAGTATTACCCCTACTACGATGTGAAAACGTTGCCATAATTTACAATATACGTAACGTTTCGAGTTTACAAGAAGGAGGAGCCAAAATCTCAAAACTCCACTCCTCTACATAATAATGCAATCCAGCGGACCAATGAGAGCAAAGGAAATCTGTGTCATATATATGATATCGCGTAAGACCTGCGCAAGTGCAGTGATGGCCTTTCGACCATATAAAAGCCACAGTAGCCGGGCCGCGGAGTTATTTTGCTTCATAGCTCTACTTCTTCCTGCCACATCGCTTTCTCTCTGCTATCAGTCCTTTCGGTGCCCTCGTTCAGTTAACACGCCATCGCCATGTAAAACCGTCAAACTGGCGCGCTACTCAGAGTCCACCACTGTGGTGGTGGCCGAGCCAGGTGAGTAAAATTATTATTTCATTTATAATTATTTTAATATTTTTTTCTAAAGACTTGTAGTAGTTTCCACCTTCTGGTTCCCACGTGAATGTTTAATAAGGCACAGTGGTCATGCAGGGCCAGTAAATACCAGACGCTTGTCGGCAGCGCATGGAGGTTACGTGTACTAAATGTTTCTAAATTATGATGGAAATGTCGAGTCGACAGCAATTGTATCCGACAATTACTAATAGTAGTGAGCAGTTTTTTGGGAAATTGTTAAAGTGTTTAGAATCATAGTGGTGCTTTTTGTGATTGTTTTTCTAAAATGGTTGGTATTTTTCAGTAAACGAAGAGGCGGACTCTGAGAGTCGAACATGTGGCAAGATCCTAGTGTTCCTGTCGTGGGTGCTCGTCTGCCTCACTATGCCATTTTCCCTCTTCATCTGCTTCAAGGTAAGTGCCAATAAATGTTTAATTTGCAACTTCCAAGTACTGTTTCTATTAATTGTCAAAAAACCAGTTAAGTGGTAATTTAATCGTGAAATGCTTGGAATTTGTAAATTATTTAATTATTTACCTGTGTCTTTTTACTGGTATCTAGCTCGCGCCCTAAAATTTGGGTGATGTCCCAGCGAACGCGCTATGGCAATACATTTAATTTTATTGCAGCTCGCGTCTAACTCAACTGAAACATAATTGTTCCGTATTTTCTGCCAAAGTCGCTACTGAGCTAGGCAGAAGTTTTCAGGATAAATTATCATAGTCCTGTAAAGGGCTAGCGGGAATTTGGGAATCGAACCCAAAATATTGTTCTCGTATAAATTGGACGCGCTGTGCGCTCCCGATATGGGGCACTCGGTCAACAGACCGTCATGTGGGTGTCAATATTTGTGAACATATTACTAATTTAGAAATTACCACCATTACTTAGCGGCGAAGAGCTATTTTTCCTCCGTATTTCATGCCTTTTGGAATGTAATGTCAATTCGTGTCGGTTTTTTTTAACATTTCGGGAATATGCCATCCTTCCTTGTAAGTTCAGTTTCCAAAAAATATGTGAAAGTTAAAATTACTAAATGCTCGCGACAAGACAATAACTGGTGAAAATTCGATGCATATTATATGCATCTCTGCCTACCCTAGTGGAATTTAAAGGCACGATGTTCATGTTGTATCATGGCCTAAATAATACAGAACATAAAAATATTTCATTTTCTGAAATCTATAGATTATTAGGTAATTGTTCAAAAAATAATAATACTGAATTAAAATATTCACGAAACATTTTTTTCGAATATGTTTCAATCACAAGATAATAAACGTCCGTTAGGTAAGTATACTGTTTTAATTGATAGAAAACTAGAATTTTCAAAGTGGCTATAATACTTTAAATACCTAGGTTGTTCGATAAATTATCGGTAGGCGATCGGTAACAATAAGCATATAATTATATCGATCGATGCATATACATTTATAATAAGCACGCAGTCTTGTGTCGCATGGTACCTATCTCAGACTAGTAAAACTAAATTATTTAATGCATCGCACACATTATTTGTAATTTTTTATTTACTACTGACTTTTATGAGGAGAAAAATATTAATATCAGTTTTAAGGCTTAGGCCATACAGCGGTATTATCTGAAGACAAACTCTGTGATAACGAAATCACTCGAGATGCACAGATTATTAAATTGCAAAACTACACACTGTTTTCAACCTAGAAGTCGAAGTCTCTAAGTTATCTATTCATTACAAATTTTGCGCGATGATTCTGTAATATTTCACAGTTTTAAAATGACGTCATTCTACCATATAGGCCAATAAGTACCTACATTAAAGTTAAAATAATCATCCTATAAAAATGCAGTTTGAAAAGTGAAGGTCACTTACTATTTCATTACCAAAATTGTTTAAATATTAATCAGTTATTTTTAATAACTTACCACGAATATTACCGCGATTAGGTCCGTAATAAAATGTCACTACAATTACAATTTCACTACGTCACTACGATTTTCAACAGTGGTAATATAACGCCACATCAGTTTAATCTCCACGGTGGATTAGGTACCTACGGGTGCATATTCACGCTGTAACTACCACTTTTTCACAGCCAGACTCAGGGTTATGTCACGCGGTAACATAAGCGTTTTTTCCTTTGTAAGCTCGCGAATTACAGCTTTTGTATTGACATTATGAAATACATACATATATCATACGCCATAAGATTTAATGTTGTAAAAATAGCAAGATAATATATGACTTTCGGAATCCCATTTTCGTAGTTAGAACCTAATCAAAAATGCCATTATAATGGTTTCAATTACTAGTTGTCTAACCGCGATTTCATATACGTGGGTAAGGTAAAAATAAGTAGCCTATAACTCTGTACCTTCCTAACTAATTGTAGGCACAAAAATCTAGCCATAAAAGGATAACAAACAAGCTTTCTCATTCACAGCAATAGGAAAAATTATTAAAAGATTTCATCCCCTAAATTTGTTCATACAAAAGTAGTCTCTAAACATTGAAAATAAGGTCTATAATGTAGTTAGTGGACAGCGGTCACCGGTGACCGCTTGGGGATATACAGGCGGACCGAGTATGATATTGCTTTGTTTAACAAATAAAGTGAAACATAGAATTTTCCATAATTTCTTCAAAGAATATAAACGAAACTTTAGACTGTGAACACCTCCAAATGTCATACGTTTTATGAATAATTAAGTTGAATATCAGGTGTTCCAGTTCACATATAAGTTGATTGACCTCAATGCCAATACGAATACCATGAATAATCATCACGCATAAGAAAAGCTTTCAACTATAATCAATAATCGTTTTATTATTGATAGATATCGATATGATTTAATAAACTAAATATCCTTATTACAAAAAGTTCTTTCATACTCTTTGTGACTTAAATATAACATAACATCACGCTTTTTATCCCCGAAGGGGTAGGCAGAGGTTTGCATTACGGCACTTAAGGTCACAACCATTTTTCACTATTATGTTATGAGTCCCATGTAATAGAGGGTGAACCTATTGCTGTATACCGGGCACTGATACCGGATACTGAGTTTTTTTAAGAACCCAGTAATACTTTACCCGACCCGGTAATCGAACCCGAGACTCCTTCTGGCAGTCGCAATTGCGACCACTCGCCCAACGAGGCAGTCTTTGTGACTTAATTTTGTTTTAAATTTCAAAATATAAAGTATTTACTACGCTTGACCTCCGTAGGATTAGAAATAAATACATATGTTGCACAAATTTGCTTGAAACAATAGTTTCAGTTAAAAAGTCTGTAACTTCTCCATTTCTGTAAAGCTTAGATGGAATACTTAGACAATTTTATAATCTATGAAAAAGCGAATGCACTTAATTACATTCTATAGTAACTTAATAGAACTTCACAAAATTTAAAGCCATTATGTAATTTTTTAAACAATATACAAATTAATAAAGACAAAGTTTCACACATCGAATCTTTATTAAATGCACATAGGTGCTGCACCCACATTACAGAAGAAAATATAAATGCAGAACCATAATTATATAAATAGAGAAATCACCACTTCTAAGAGGTTTCACTCACCAAGTAGTAGTATCCCCAGATAGTATACAATGCACCCCCTATGACCTTGGGTGGTCGCCCTAAAGATACATACAGCGGCGGTAATGAATGCCACGAGCGAATCAAAACCACCCATGCTACGTTTGACTTGAATACAGGTAGTTGCATAATTAGTAGGCAGGTAAAACAAAAGAGAATCAATGTAGACAGTGGTATTGAACAATAATCACTTGTGAGAACCTAGGGCAGAAGCTACTCGGATATTTGTAAAGCATTATTTATAATACACTACCGACCCGATACGGCTTCATACGGGTGCAATATGAATATATTTTACATAAAACCCTTCCATAAGAGGGTTCTACTCTATGTATTAAAAAAAATCGCATCAAAATCCGTTGCGTAGTTTTAAAGGTATAAGCATACATAGGGACAGACCGACGGCGAATAACTTTGTTTTATAGTATATAGTGCTAGTTCATATTGCAATAGCTGAAGCTAGCTTTTTTTTATCCGCTCTCGTCCTCGCGTCTATTATTACTTTTACTATTCATTCTAATAGGGATGATGACAGGGTATGAAAATTAAAAATCTAATTAGTCCGTCAGATAGGTAAGGATACAAAATTAAATATTAAAAAACGATAATACTTAGATAAAACGAATCAAAATTTAGGAGTGGGAGGTAGCTACGTCATTTTAGAGTGTAAATCGTACTCAAAAGTGACGTCAGACGATATTTCAAATCAATATATCTTCGAAACTATTTATTTTCGTAAGAAAATAAAAAATACGTGTGTAATGTTTTTAAATAATCTACAAGACGGACATTAAAATAAAAATTAGTTATCTACTCATTTTGTCACAAATACAGTTACTCTCATCTGAACCGCTTGTCTCTCGTCTCCACCACAGTTGTTGATTTCTTAGCTAACTAAATTTCACTCTTACTGACCGCTCTCACTTTTAAAACCTACTCAAATCTACGTGTCCACACGACAAACTCGCGTCCTTGTATTAACCACGGTTGCTCTTACCACGCAACTCGCTCTCGCTGCCGTTTATATATAACTCTCACTTTATAAGGTCCTACTCTCGCCTCACCCACCCTCGTCCTTTGACCACATGCATAATTTCGTATAAACATTTATATATTTGCAATTGCATCCTTTAATGTGTCACTCTACTATCGATTATATTACACAATTCAAAATATACTGAACAACTATAAATAAATATTAATGTACCATGGCTACCGTATAACACATAGCATATGTATACACCAGCGGTTAGTTTTACAGGAACACATAGTGACCCTGATCGTTAGTTTGATTCTCGCGTATGTGAGAACGTATGACAGTAATTATAAGGCATTTCAATTTATAAATTAATGAGTATTAGTCGTCAAGGATTAAATCAAATCGTGTCTTAGTAGGTTATTCAATCAACCTTGAATTCTATATAAAGTATAAATAGGAATTTAAATAAAAAACAATAGTAGTAACTATTTCATTACACCCTGAAATAATTGCTCAATAGTTACACATTTTCTCTAACAAACACAAGGTAAGAGACGCCACTGAATCAATCGACGTGTATGCCTTTTATATCAGTATGTTCTCAACTCTTATTGCTATCTTACTTATTCGCCATACTCTTCTTACATGACCCACGCCTTTAAGCGTAGCCCTCACTATACTAAGAGAAAATATTGTCCTTCGGGTATCCGAACATATTAATTAATTAAAGGATTCCAAGATCAAGGCTACATACGACTTTTGCAAGAATCACACCAACAAATGAACAGAAGTTTTGTTTGGATTCAGTTTTCTAAAACAGTATTTTATTAGTCAAACTTGCATTCAAGAAATT